TAATAACACCGATGTAACTTTTATTGAGTGTTACACCTCTTAATAACTGTATATTAAATGCGAATTTTGTAAATCCAACCGTTAAATTAAAAGTTCACATCTCTTAGATCATATATACAAAATTTTATATTAATCCAAGATGATTTGATACTTCATTTTTATAAAATAAAATTGACGTAATATATTCATTTCAAAATATACTAAAATATGAACACTTTGATCACCATCAAATTATTGTTCAATTTTAAAAAAATTTGATATACATATATAAAATGATATGAACTTTCAATTTAACATTGGATTTACAAAATTCGCATTTAATATATAGTTATTGAGCGGTGTAACTCTTGAGGAGGGTTATAATAACACCGGTGTAACTTTAACTAAGTGTTACACCACTCAATAACTGTATATTAAATGTGAATTTTGTAAATCCAACCGTTAAATTGAAAGTTCATATCTCTTATATTATATACACAAAATTTTATATTAATCCAAGATGATTTGATACTTCATTTTTATAAAACAAAATTGACGTAATATATTCATTTCAAAATATACTAAAATATGAACACTTTGATCACCTTCAAATTGTTGTTCAATTTTAACAAAATTTGATATACATATATAAAATGATATGAACTTTCAATTTAACAGTTGGATTTACAAAATTCGGATTTAATATACAGTTATTGAGCGGTGTAACTCTTGAGGGGGTTATAATAACACCGGTGTAACTTTTACTAAGTGTTACACCGCTCAATAACTGTATATTAAATGCGAATTTTGTAAATCCAACCGTTAAATTGAAAATTCATATCTCTTAGATTATATATATAAAATTTTATATTAATCCAAGATGATTTGATACTTCATTTTTATAAAACAAAATTGACATATACTAGTACACAATACACATTTTACGTCGACTATTTTAGGGGTTTTTACATCAGAAAAGCTTCCGACGTAGAAGCGGGAGACGTAAATTTACGTCGGGGCGTGAAAACTGACGTAAATTTACGTCGAACATGCCAAGGTCCGACGTAAAAAAGTCATAAAAATTTAAATAATAAAAAAAAACGAGTGCAAGCAGAACGGCCCGTTCTGCTTGATAAACCCAGGAGCAGGTTCTATATATATATATATTAGTAAGTACAATAATAATAATAATAATAATAATAATAATAATAATAATAATAATAATAATAATAAATACTTTTACCTATGGTCAGAGCATGTAAGAATAAGTTCATGACTTTTACCTACAGTCATAACATGTAAGTACAACTTAATGGTGTTTACCTATAGTAGGGGATGTAAATATAAGTCAATGACTTTTACCCCTACATATTACAAATTGTAGGTATCTCTTATATAGTGATAGTCAAATGTAATTGTTGGTAAAATTATGTCTGTAGATAAAACTTATAGTGATAAGTTATTATTTAGTTGTTCCTATATGTCCCCTCAAAGTTGACAACTTGAATGTCAGTAGGTCAAAGTCCATGATACCTTTACCTATGGAGTTTTGATTTTTAGTAACATCTTTTGTGTATAGGCATAAGTCATTTTTCTTGTAGTGTAAGCTTTCTCAATACAAATCTCATCTGTTACATATATGATTCAGTTCAATAAATACTCAAACAACTAATCAACCATAAATACTCAATTGAATTTGTAGAATTGGAAACACCAACAACATTAAATAAGCTAATTCAATTTCAAATTCACAAAAAAAAAATGTACCAATAAACAATAGTCATAGCTCCTTACCATAACAAATAATGCAGTGACAAAAGATATAATATCTTATGGAAAAAGAACATGAAAAACAAAAAACTTAATCTATATACATATAATTCACAACTAGAATCGTCAAAACGTGTTAGAATCTATAAGCCAATCTAACCCACCATGGATTCAAGTTAGGTTGGACTTAAAAACATTTACAAGTTTTAATACGAGACAATTTTGAACCTAACTTACCTCAGTTCAACATGTGGTGAGCCGGGTTGGCTCACCAACATGCATAACGCAAAATAAATAAATAAATAAAATCGGCCCATTAACTTTAAATTACACTATCACATCAATTAAATATTTAAAATTTTGTGCATTATTAACATGGATTAAATTTATTCTTGGTATAAAGTTTCAATTTTGAATAAAAGGAAATTTAGAAGGAAAAATGTTTTATAAATGAAATTGATACAGTTAAATAAACACTAACTAAATTTTTTAATTAACATGGATTAAATTTATTTTGTTTATATTTTCAATTGTATTAGTTTTAATCAATAAGGCTACCCCTTAATTAATTAAAGTACTTGTGCTAGACTATATAATTTTTATTATGCAAAACAATTCTTGATTTAACTTGAAAATGACTTCATACTACACTTTTATATGATGGTATAGAAACATGTTTTCTATTGTAAAGTCTAAACTATGTAATTGCATATTTGATGATATTCCCTGCAAGGCAATGTTAGCCATCTCTTCTAAGAAGCTCGTCAAAGAAGAGTTCAAACATGGACATTATATAGTGCTTTTAAAAATAAAAAACTATTTTTATTTTTTAAACAAGCATTCTTCATAAACACAGTTAAAGCCTAGTCTAAAATAAAGACATAATTTTAAAATGTGGTGACCAGAGAGTACATCGATATATCCTTCAATCTTATAATATTTTCATATAAATACAAAATAATTAAAACAATTATTAAAATCAATCCAAATAATTATAACAAAATACAATAAATAATAATTAGCAAGTATATAATATAACATAAATATATTTCTTTTAATATAATTATAATTAAAATAAAATATATAAATAATTATAATAAAAAAACACCTATTTTCTTCAAATGATTATTATAACAAAATATCATAAAAATACATATTTTCCGAACACCCGAGTCCGAGACCAGACACCCGAGTCCGTGAACGCTGAGGCCGAACACCCGAACTTGCCGAACACTCACAAGTCTAACGGAATGCGTCGGTGTGCTCGGCCTAACTGCGCACCTATGCCAGGATGATTACGGAGAGTTTAATTAACGTAATACATCGGATTAGCTCCCTAATTTTTCGGGGCCCAATCCCTAATCACGGCCCAATAAGAACCACTATAAATAGGACTCCAACGAGGTATGTAACTAACTTCTAACTACCGCATTTGTTACGCCGAGCACTTACTTGAGCGTCGAAGTGTCTTTGCAGGCACCCCCTACCTCGCTTCGGACTACCCGGACAGGAACGAGAAGACCGAGACCCAGGACCCGACCCGCTACAAAAGGCACACCCCCCCTCACTTCGGACTACCCGGATAGGAACGATAAGACCGAGACTCAAGACCCGACTCGCTACAATAAGGATAATTGAAGTGTGTATCCTAACACACAAACAAGTAATATCGTATAAATTGTTTACATGTATCAATAAATAAATAAAAATACTAGACAATTATATGGGGTTCAAAGCTTCTTTAACAGGCTGGTCCCTTGAACAAGACAAAAATATTTCCATTAATAACTGCAATAGATCCAAATTAGCTCATCTTAGTGGGACCTTTTATATATTTAGCAATCTTTAATTAAAATATCAATTGGTGTGCTACATATATATTATATAACGATCGACATATTAGTTGACATATGTAGCGAGGGTTGAATAATTTGACAGTTTCGTGCTTCCCCAATCATTGCATGAGTTGGTTGGTGCGAAAGGTCAGATAGCTCAGAGTTGAAAATTTTCTTGGTCTATCTGCTACTAAACAATAAATAAAATCATACCGAAGAACTTAAACATATATACTTGAATTACACGTATAATAATTTTTTCATCAGAAGCATAGATGGTGTTGGAATGTAGGATAAGAAGCATCATATTCTGTTAGGGTTGTCTATCAACTGTTGTAAGGTGGGACAATTAACAATACAAATGGTTTTTTTTTATTTATATTGTTATGGAAATTAAAAGATTCATATAAGGCAATAGTGCTATGTTTTTTTTTTTGTAATCTGATTGTGTAATAGCTTAGCTGTATACTGCAGATTTGTTTTTCTTCTAGACCATGGTGCTACTCAGAGGTTTAAAAACCGGATCGAATTGACTAGTCGGACCAGTTGAACCGGGAATCAGTAGTTTAGTCTGTCTGAATCTTGAGTTGGATCAGTTATATATTTGATCCATTTCAAACTAGAGTGAACCGGTCAGTTTTTCGATTCAACCAGTAAATCGGTGAGTCGAATCAGTGGGTCAAACCGGTTCAATAAAAAAAAATTTAAATTTTTTTAATGTATTTCTTTATACAAAATAAAAATAAAGATAATTTTAAATAAGATGAAAATTAAAATTTAAGATAGGATAAGAATTTATTAAAATTTATAAGTATAAAATATATTTAACATGAATATATTTTAAAAAAAATAATAAAACCACCCGTTTAACCTTTGATTTACTGATCCAGTACCTTAACCAGTTTGATGACCGATCCGATTTTTAAAATTATGATGCTATTATTATATAGTGATTTTTGTTTTATTTTTTTGTTTTTGTAATCACGTTTTGGTGATCGTAAACTTTGTTGATGCACGAATTAATAACATTACACCTTTGCCTTTAAAAACAGTATTTTTTTTTAAATTCTTTCTCGTAATTTGTTATACAGATATCATTTATCTTACTAAATAAGATTATTTTCGGTTTGCAAAACTCAAATACAAAGAACATGTAAATCATTTCTGTACCTTCTAACAAACATTGTTGGTCTAAACAACTTTGTATTATATAAAGACATGTTTAGATGTACGTTCCAAATTCACATTCAACTAAAAACTACATAAATTGATGGAGAAATTACTTTTTATTTGTTTCTGTTGAATGTGAAGAGAGAATGATGATTATGTCCTGAATTTAGTTCCAAACACACTAAATTTGTCATGAATTTTGATCCAGAGATTTGTGTATAGAAAATTCACTTGAAAAAAAAAATCTCACTTTAACACTTTATTATATTTATAGAGAGAATAATCTCTCACTTATGGGGGGAGAAATACTCTAATCTCGAAAAAAAAAAAGAAATCTACTTCAACTTGAGAACATTGTTTAATTATTTTGCGTATTAATTTGGTCGAACTATAGAGATAGGAAACAATTTTCTATCTACAAGATGAACTTGCAACCAATAATTAGTGCTAAATGTTCCTATTTTGCTGCAAAGTGAGTCGTTCAACAAGGATATCCAATGCTTCCTTCATCCACCAATGTTGACAAACTTCTCGGGCTTCATCAACATTCATCTGCATAAGGTGGATCATATATGAGAATTAGTATCATTCGTAACTAGTTAATTTTATTAATTACTAATATTTTACGTTTACTCTATTCCACATCCAAAACAAAACAAGGTGCAGTCTTCAACAGCAATTACAATCATAAATATTGTACGTATGAGGTCATCTCAATCTTAAATATTAGATTTGAAACAGTTACATACAACTAACCTCAACAAACTTTTAGAGTAATATTCAAATCATATATATATATATATTTTTTTTTTCTTGTATTAACTTTTCAAAGAAATTTATTTTATTTTTCCTTATAAATTTTTTTCTAAAAGTTCTTTTACAGATAAATTAAAGGTGTATTTTGAATATTAATAGATGTTGGGTGCAGTTAAAAAAAAAATAGGTAGGTTGAACGTGAATGACTTAACATAATGAGTCACCATAAATGTGTGTTAGAAAGTGAGAATCGAAATTTAAACAAATTAAGAGTGTCTAAGTCCTTTATACATACCCATATTCTTCTCCGTAGATCCTTTTCAGGCCACAAATCAAGTTGTTCCTTGACAAGCAAAGGAAACATGTGCCCTTCATAGTATGTACCATGTCTTTTGCTAATGAACCTCCACTGTCCCAATTCATGCTGCAATATCAAACGAAACCAAATTTTCACTTTTGTTTTAAAATTATTTTACAATAATAGAAGAAACTAGAAAGAAGTAGCTAATAAAGATTATTGATTTTAATTAATTAAGTAAAAAGTGCAATGTATTCAAAATTTTGACCCATCCAATACCTCAATGATTCCTGTAACTCCTGCTTCTTCTAGGGATTCCCTGCAAGCTGCTTCTTCTACAGATTCATCGAGTTCCCATCCTCCCTAAAATAAACAAATAAGATGTTAATTAATGGTAAATATGAATATTCATTGTGATCACGATGAGACCAAAGAGACTTTTCAATTGAGAGTAAACACCAATTTTATCCATGCAAAAAAATAAAATAAAATACTCCACTCAACTCATGGGACACTAATCTTTTAATCATGTTTGTTCTATTTTTAGTCCAAATATAATAAATAAAAAATGAACGTGTGTCAAACTCAAAATAATCTTTGAAAAAATCATTAGTTACCCAAATTAATGTTCCCATTATTTTAGAAACATTTAATTATTCTCTTCAGAATATTTCTTTTTCAGAAATGAAATTGGATATTTAGACTAATTAATTCCTAGTATATGAGCAAGCTGAGAGTGATGAAATGACGAAAGTACCTTTGGGAACATTAATGCTTGCCCTTTTTGCGAACTAACCACTAGCACCTCCAATTCATTGCTTACTTTGCCATCACTGTCTTCTTTATATCTGTAAGGTATGCACCTGCCCAATTTGACATTGTTATAATAAGTTTGAGTCAACGAAAGCCACAAGCAATTAATACCACAACAAAGAAGGGACTCTGCTGGGAATATAAGAAAGGCTAAATCCAACAAATTGAGAAAAAATTTCCAAATTCAACAAATAAAAGGCTATAACCAGCAAATTTATCCAAGTGTTACGTACTATTGAAATGCTACTGTCACACCTGACACCAAATATATAACGATCTCGAACATTATTTGATTTTATAACATTCTTTTTACATTCTCTCCCCTTTAAGAAAAAAAAGAAGAAAAAGTTCCTTCTTATTAGACACCCATGATAGAAAACACTCGGGAAAAAAACCCCAGAAAAGATGAATGTGTACAAATGTGATAAACAATATAATATGATGAAAAATATAGAGACAAATAACTGGTGTTACTAGTGTTTAGGTGCATGCCCAAAAAATCAAAACGCTAACTTTTACAAAACTCTAGTTTTTTTTTAGCTTCTATTCATTATATTGTTATAAAAATAAAAAAAATAAAAAAAATTAAAGATGATTGGTCAATTTTTTTATGTAAAAGAGATTAATCATTGATAAAATTAGCAAAAAAAATTTTACTAATAATATATAATTACAAAAAATAATAACCTAAATTAAGAAACAGATCGAGAGTAGGACCTTGAAATGAACTCACCCCACAACTTGGCGGCCACCACTACTGTTGTATCTCTGCAACTCCCTTCCCGTTCGAGATGCCATGCAAAACATCTCTCTCAGACACTTATTAGTTTCAATTTCCACTTTCGGAAAAGATAAAATCTTAAAGAAAACGAAGAAGAGATCGATGATCTATTATAATATATAACAGGTCAGCTACAACACAAGTAACTTATAACTACGTATGGTATCTTTATATATATGATGGTTTGAGAATCAATACATAGGACGAACTAAAGGGTTTGTATATAAGAAAAAAGTTGCTTAGTGAAATCGTTTATATAAAGCGCGTAATTGTCGCATATGGATGAGTTTGGACGGAGAAAGAAAAATGTGAAGAGAAAATTAAAAAAAATAATAATAATTTTTGTAAGGTTGAGGCTTCGGTGTGGTTTCGCCAATTGGCTATTTATTATTGGGGGTTGGGTTCGTTGCTTTGCCGAGTCAATGAGCTTGCCGAAAAGGAATTTTGATGGAATTCTCTTCTCTTTAGCTACCAAGTCTGTATTTTAGTATGAAAGAGGGAGTCAAGATGAGTTAGTTGACTTTCGAGAATGCGTCATGCATGGCTTGTATATTTCATAATCCCTTACGTCTAGAAGATCTGATTATTTCCTTTTTATACGATTTTTGGATACACAATTTCGTTGCAATCACTACAACAAAATTTAGTATTACCGATAATTATTTAATAATAATAAATTAATTTCCCCTATTTTATTATTTAATAAAAATATTAATGACTATTATATAATGACCACTAAAAATATATTTACATATCACATCAAAATTTACTATTAGTGACAATTATTTTTTAGAAAAAATTTAAGTCTCACATCGACTATAAATAAAATAATTAAAGAGTATATAGGTGAATGATAACTCTTACCTTACAAGTAAGGTTGAGTTAGGCCTATAACTTATTATTCTAAGTTAGTATTTAGGAGTTAAGATAATTAAAAAAAATTAAAGAATATATACTTAGAAGATAACCTTCATCTTCTAAGTCCCACATCAATTAGAAATAAGGTAACTAAAGAGTATTTGTACTTATCTTACAAGTCCTACATCGACTAGAAATAAGATAATTAAAAAGTATTATAAATCTTTTCTTAAACTTTTAGTGACAATTTTAAATGCCAGTAACAAATGAGACAAAAAAGATACATTTTTTTCAACTATTATGAGGGTCTTTATCAGCATATAGGATAATTGCCGATAAATATTTTAGCGATACTGCATACAATGCCTAATGTGTAAAATACCGATAAAAAATTTTGTAACAATTTTTATTGTCACTAAAAGTCATATTAAATGCCACTAAAAATAATATTTGTTGTGAATTCAAGTTTTGATTTATTATCATAGCTATATATACTATTGCTTAGGTTTGGTGGAGATAGATAATTAATATGAAAATTAAGCATATGTTATTATCGTAATATATTAGAAATTTTAGGGGTATATTTTTTAAAACACTTTTTGTATTATATAGCTTTTTTGCCTCTTAATTAATAAATTTTAATTGATAAAAGTGTGTTGTTAATGTTTCTCTTATGGTACCCTCTACATTTATATATAGTTTAAAAAAATATCAACTTCACACAAATTAAAGAATGTAATTAAATGGATTTAATTTTCATGATTATATTTATTAAAATATATTTAATTATATTTATTATAGACACTATTCTCATTTATTATCTTATAAATATTTTTGGATTAAGAACATTAAATAAAATTTATTTATATTTAAGTAAAAAAAAGAAGTATTTTTTTACTTACATACATAGATCCAGATGGATGAAGTAATAATTTTAACACAATGTTTCACTTGTTTTTGTTCATAAAATTTAAAGGTGACTTTAAAGTGAACGTTTATCCAAATATTGTTAAAAGTGAAAAGTTTTCGCAAAAAGTGATTTTAATGTGTTCCCATTATTTTCATACATCATCAATGTGGTATCGGGGTACTCAAGTTTTTATTTACTGATTTATTGGCCAATTGTTAAGGCTTTTAGGTTTTAGCAAGATCTTTAAATTTAAGTGGGCATTTGCATTTGTTATATGGAATTTTTTTCATTCGAACCATTTTTTTTTGTTGGGAATTTCTTGATAATTATGTTTCTAGAAATATCATAAATATGTTTAGTATGTTTAAAAATTTCCAGAAACAATAAACATGATTATAAATAAAAATAAAACTTTTTATAGGAATTTTGATGAATTCCCACCTCCTTCCATAAATAAGTTTTGGTGGGATGCTTCGTTAAAAAACGATTCTCAAGAATGTTAAATCTCCAGAAATGTTTTATAAAATTGTACCAAACAGAAAAATTTAACATTTCTAAACTATATATGATTCTCAAAAACAAAAATATATTCCTCAAGTAATTAAACACCCCTAAAGGTAACATTGTTTAATAATTCTACAAATTTGTATGCTAGAAAGATACTTTTGGTTAAAAATTTAAAATAAGTTACTCACAAGTTGAAATTTAAAATAAAAAAGAAATAATAAATATCAATCAAAAACTCTAAAAAAATATATTTTTAAAAGTTCCTTTCTCAACAACTTTCTCATTAAAGATATTTTTTCTATTAATCCTGTTACATTTATAATATCTCCTTTTCGAAGAAAAAAAAATTAAACAAACACTACTTAATCAATATTCAATTCCTGACGTGATAGTTAAAATTTACTCGAAATGGCTGTCTGTTCAATTATTATGAAGCATACTATGCAATAACTTGAGTTTTATGTTTATGAATAATAATATAAAAAAAAATCTATAATGATGATACCCTTATCTCATAAATTTAATGTGCCAAATATTATATATTAATTAGTGTCACCAACCACAGCATTGCTTGGTGCACCGTCATATGAGTTCAACACGATTCCACACAAGCATTTTGACCTCCATCACTCTATCACATGCACTATAGTTTGCGGTAAACTTTGTCTATAATTAATAAGACAAAGGTTGCAACTTTATCCTAATTTCATAACGGAGCATACCCGCCACTCTCGCCACCAAAACTCAGTCATCCACAGATCCATGCCTAATTCATGTATAGTATTTTCTTGGACAAATTCAATTCAATTTGCTGGATAACATGTATCACGATAACATTAACAAAGATAAATTTTATTCTTATTATTAAGTATTTTTACAACTTACTCGATAACTAAAAGAAAAATGCACAAGAAGAAAAAAAATAGCTATAATAAAATAAAATAAGTTTTGAAAAAAGCTATAATATATCTTCAATTCTTCGAGATTAAAAAAAAAATAACAATCTTCAAAATATGCTTGTATATAAATTAATCCTTTTGACAAGGGAGGCTAATTTGACCACTCAAACACGTAAGGTTTTAATGTACACGTGGCAAATGTTGTATGGTCATAGGTCTGGAAAGCACTTATGACATCATGGGGCACGTCGCTTTACATGCATCTAATTAATTGTCTTGGTAACCTTTCTCATGCCTCTCCTCATTCTATAAATAGAAGGTTGCGTGAAATTTCTAGTGAATAAATTTTCATGAGTTTTACCGTAATTGCTCCTCCCTTTATCTTCTTTTCTGATGAAGCAGTGCGGTGAGCCACAATTTCCATCATGTTGTGCGAAAGAAGTCTAGTGGAGTTACCTTAGTAAATAATATTTAGTATCTAGTGGGTATATATGCTTACTTGCTCCCCTTGCATTCCCCTTTTTCTTTGCATCCATAGGTGTTTGAGTTTTATTTTAACAATGGCGTCTAAAAGTTAAGAGGAATTATGTAAGTGGGTTAAGGATGATGTTCTAAAGTGTCATTTCGCCCTTTACTCTTGTCTTTTAAAGAAAAGCCAATGTGGAGAGCACGTAGTTTCATGAGATGGGGATGAATCTGTTCTTGTGGGTGAGCCATGTATTTATAAAGGTGGTCATTAACCAAGTGTGTTTGAGTTTTATTTTAACAATGGCGTCTAAATATCACAGGTTATCCATATCCCAATATAATTGTCTTTCTTCTATTTCTCTATGTCTATTCCTAAAACTATAGGTGATGTCTTAGCCCACCCTGGTTGGAGACAAGCCATGATTGATTAATTGTATGCTCTTTAGAACAATGGCACTTGGGATCTTGTTTCTTTGCCTCTGGGGAAGTTTGTGGTTGTATGTTAATGGAACTTTATAGTCAATCAGGTTGGTCCAGAACGGGCCGTTCCGGATTTGGAACGGGCCGTTCTGGCCTGATGCTTATAAATAGAGCACCCTGCCACTCCCAAAAAGCACACCTCTCATTTTCTGAGTTCTTTTCTTCTTTTCTCTCTTCTCTTCTTCTGCACTCTCTGAAGACCGAGGGGAACCCAGCGAAGGAGATCAACCAGATCCTTAGTTTCAGCTACTGTTTATCCAGGTACGGGGAAAAAAGGAATTATTTATATGAAGAGTTACATGAGGGAATTGGGTAGAGGAAGAGTCCTTAGGATTATGAGTAATTTTATAATTATTTCTGCTTCGAGAATTATTGATTTTATACGATTCTGTATGTGTTAAGGATTATGAACATATGATTAGTTTGTACAAATGATAATCTGGGAGAGAGAACGAAATCGTAGAAAAGTGCCTGTGAGTTAGGTTTTGGAAAAATTGGGGGTTTTATTGTTTAAGTTAAGATTATATTAAATTGGCGATTTAATCTGGTTTTATATTAATTTATAAATATTATTATTACATGATTTGGTAAAATTGATGATAAATATTATTATTACATGATTTGGTAAAATTGATGATAAATATTATTATTACATGATTTGGTAAAATTGATGATCTAGATGAGGATTCATGGTGAATTATTTAAGGGGTATGTGAACCACCATTTTGTGTGAATTGTGTATGTATTGTGGAATTGATATGTGGATATGGATATGGATATGGATGTGGATATGGATGTGGATGTGGATGTGGATGTGATTGTGGTTCCTCACACTTGTGACCAGAGGTGGCACGACCGTAGACAAGAGATGCTACAGGTGTGACCTTGGCATAGTATGGGATGGGTGATTCCTCATGCTTATGTCGGGGGTGGCACGACCTCGAGCAAGAGATGTTGCAGGCGTGACCTTGGCACAGTGTAGGATGTGTGATTTCTCATGCTTATGTCGGGGGTGGCACGACCTTGGGCAAGAGATGCTACAGGCGTGACCTTGGCATAGGGTGGGATGTGTGAGGCAATTAATGCTTATGTCGGGGGTGGCACGACCTCGAGCAAGAGATGCTACAGGCGTGACCTT